TCTGAGTAACCATGATTTAGAAACACTTTAATTACAAAGTACATCTACACGCATAACTTGTGTGTGTACCTGGTAATTGGTAATGCTAAAATTCTCTGCCCTCCTGTGCTGGAACCCAAGAGGCTTCTTCTTTCTCTTGCTTCTTGTCTTGGTGATCTAGTGCAGAAACACCACAAGTGGGTGGCTTTAACAAACAGAAATGTGTATCCTCACAGTTTCAGAGGCTAGAAGTCCAAATTCAACATGCTGGCTTTAGGGGAAGACTTTCTCTCTGTGCCAGCTCTGGAGGCAGTCCTGGCCTCTTCAGAGCCTCAGTGACACTAACCCCGCCTTATTAACATAACAAAGGCAACCCATTCCCAAATAGGATTATAAGCAAGCACAAGCATGGGGGTAAGGTTTACAATATATATTTGGGGTATGGGGGTGTGTGGTAGTTACATAATTCCATGTCAACTTGATATATAGAAGTGTAGAAGTAGAGTCTAGACCAGTGGTTCTCAACCTGTAGGTCGCGACCCCTTTGGGGGTTGAATGACCCTTTCACAGGGGTCACCCAATTCATAACAGTAGCAAAGTTACAGTGATGAAGTAGCAATGAAAATAATTTTATGGTTGGGGGGTCACCACAACATGAGGAGCTGTAATAAAGGGTCACGGCATTAGGAAAGTTGAGAACCACTGGTCTAGAGAGTCAATCAGGTCAGAGCCCGATGGTACCTCCTTGTGTGTGTGGCCTTCTCAGAAGGAGGATCCAGGGAACTTCTCCCTCTCTCTCTGCTTTACCTTCCTGTTAGCAAACCACGCTGAGGCCTGCCAGAGCCTTGTGATGCTTCCACCATTATTGGATCCACAACTTGTCTCCCACTAACCTGTGATTTTCTTGCATTTTTGCATCATTGCACGTGGCTGCGTGAGTCTGAATAGGACTTTTGGACTAGTATCTGATTTAAGGACTTGAGTTGGACTGGGCTGGGATTTTTCCTGCTATAAAAAGCTTCTTGATATAAAGCTCTTTCTTAGATATAGGTCAGTATCACTGGATTTGTTTCTCTGGTCAACCCGGCCTAATACAGAGGGGACACAATTCAACTCAGAACACTTCCCTTTCAGGACCTCTTCTAGTTGAGGCAAGGCCCAGCCTTTTGGCAGCAGGTGTCTCTGACCCATGTTGCTTTTCCTTTGGGGCCATTTTCTTCACGTTCTTTTTGTCCTCCATTTCTGAACTTGCTCCTCTCGAAACCTCCTGGTTCCTGAAGCTTCTGCAGGCAAATATGGAGCATCCCATGACACGTTGCATCTGCAAGCCGTGGAGAGTCTTTTGAAGGTGTAGGGTGTGAGGACCGTACCAGCTTCTTCTATCTGTGCTAATTTCTCCTGTGGATGTAGGTTCACATTCAATATCTGGAGTATGTGAAATGGAAAATTCAGAATAATCACTAAGAGTTCCTGGGAAGTGGACCCCTTAGTGGCTGTTAGACTTTATTTAACAACTTCACTAATTGGAGACAGGATTATATGGATGGTGTAAAAAGGAAAGAAAAAAAAAGCGAAGATGGTAGTTTGAGAATTAAGGTAAAATTTAGAAGTACAATTTATAGCCCAAAGCCACATTATTGAGTTCCCAGTATGTGCCAGATACTGGAGGCTTAAAAATACTTAGACAGGTAGGATGTCTTTAAAATGTTTACTGTATGGATGGCACTGGCAAGAGGGCATCAGGGACTATGGGAGCTCAGAGGAGGGCCCTTCTCATGACTTCAGGGATCAGCTTCCTGGAGATGGAGCGATGAAAAGTAAAGACTTTCTCCTCAGATATATGATGTTAGAACTTTGAGTTGTGACTTGACCATACTGGATTATTTAGGAAGCATCTTGTGGAATGCCCCCATCTCACCTTACCCCACAGCTATCTTAAATTTTTTTTAGTGTAACATTTGTGATCAGAATTGGCGGGCATATATTTTTTTTCCTTGAGGAAGATACATCATAGCTAAGAGCCTTGCAAATATTTCTAATTCTTGATTGTTTGCAATTAATAAAGAGGGTCATGGAATCTAGATGGCAAAATCTCCAAAGTTTTTACACCCAATTTTGGTAGGAGTATATCTCTATCCCTGATCTCTCTCTATCTTTCTGTCAACTCCTAGATAATCCTGTGTCCAGTGTTCTCAGAACTGGTAGATTCAACTAAAGCATGACGCCCTAGGAAGTAGAGATGCTAGTTTCTATCATGATGCACTGGCCTAAGTCAGTGGCCCTCAACCTTCCTAATGCCGCGACCCTTTCATACAGTTCCGCATGTTGTGGTGACCCCCAACCATAAAATTATTTTCATTGCTACTTCATAACTGTAATTTTGCTACTGTTATGAATTGGGTGACCCCTTTGAAAGGGTCGTTTGGCCCCCAAAGGGGTCACGACCCACAGGTTGAGAATCGCTGATCTCAGTGGAACACTTTTTAAAAACAACACTTCTGGTTTAAACCTAACCTGTGATGAGATAGAATTGTTTGAGGCTTCAATTTTCTCTCTCCTAAGTTCTGTTGGAAATTAGGATACTAGAAAAATGCTCTTGGACCCTTTTAATTCGTTTTAGAGGCACCCAAAACCCTTTGAGCTCACCTATGTTGCCTCTTTTCTTAGTTTCATATTTCTTTTTGTATATTCAGAGAAGGAGAGTTAATGACTTGGATCAGGTAACCACGTGTAGACTCTGTGACATTTAACAACGAACAGCTCACATAACTTAATACCTCATGGCCTGAACAGCAGGCTCAGCATCATCATGAATATACACAAACAGACAGTGGACCAGTTTTGAGATGGCTTGTTTTTTTGTGGCCCACCACTGGAGAACAGATTATCATGCTGAGTGAATACTATTACCAAGTGGTCAAAAATAATGAGTGGACTCCTATAATCATAATAAAAC